CCTGAAGCAGTGATTTTTAGGTCGACCGGCGAAAAGGCGTTCTTTCATGCCCTCGCCAGTACCTATGGATGCGAACTCCTGGAAACTCGACCGGCGAAGGGGGGCCCGCTCGGGCGACGACCTTTTTTCCGGCCGGGGTTTTCAAAAGTCATGAGCTGGGCTCAACAACGAGAAGCGATTAGAATTGCAGCCGAGGCCGGGGTCAGGGCGAGGACCTCGGCGGCAGGCTCAGAAACCCTTCCTTTGACACACCACCACCTCCGCTACGCGATGCTCAGCCGCCCGAACGGCGAGCTCACGAGGGCCGGCCAGTATTACTACCAACTGATCGACCGGCCGCCCCCCAGCCGGCAGTACGACCGCAACCAACCCCTCATCCGCGAGGGCCCGAACGATTACATCATGCTCCGGGGGGGCGCCAAAAAGCTGCTCCGCAGCCTCCAGCCCAACGGGAACTACCACTTGACCAAGCTCGGGAAGAGCTTCTTCAAGGACAAGTGGGTGGACTGGGTGGTGCACGTGCCCGTCATCATCCGCAGCATCCGGCGAAACGGCCGGAACCGCGGCATGCCCTACGAGCGCACGAAGCGCCTGCCCGTCACGGACCTCAACGTCACACTGCCCCGGCAGAGCGAGGGGCTCTCGGATGCCCAAGCGGCCCGGAACCTCAAGGCGTCCGCGCTCGCGCAGCTCGGGAACCCCGAGCCGAACGACATTATTTGGGAGCTGTCCGACGAGACCTACTACCTGGACGCAACGAGGGAGTGGACCTTCAGCCAGCAGGCCATGCAGGTCGTAGACGACCGGGTGGTGGTGGAGACCGTCCTGGATCAGCCCCTGGGGGCTCTGCGGGACGTCTCCTACCAGCTGTACTGCGGCGACGAAATCCTAGAGTCCGCCTTCGAACAGCGGCCGGACAAGCTTTGCGTCCCTCGGCAGCTCGCGGAGCTGATGCGGCTGCCGCTGCAGGAGGTGCTTTCGGACTTCGACGCAATCTGCACCAAAAAAACGTGGCGGGAGCAGGGCATCACCCCCCGAGAGATCCGGGAATTCTGCCTTTGGCGCCAGGCCCCGATGTTCTACGTGGACTGCCAGGGCCGCCTGCTGGACAAGTACGAGCCTACCGTCAAGGAGCAGCGGGCCGTGGCCTTCACGAGCTGGAACGGCCACGCCTTCTTCTACAAATCCGCCCGCACCGTCGCGAAGTGCGAGCCGATCGGGGAGCGGGCCAGGTACCGGGGCGAGAGGAAGCCAGGCGAAACGCCCGAGTTCAAGGATTGGCGGGAGTGGGAGGGCGAGGTCGCCAGCGGTCATTTCTACACTGAAGACCTGGAGCAGGTCCGGAGGGAGCTCCTGGCCGAGGGGCACTGCCCGAAGGTGGTCATGCGAAGCCTGAGCGAGTGGCGGTGCCTGCGGCTGAGGGTGCGGGGCGGCGAGGACTGCGTCATCTCCGCCTTCCACGAAGACCTGGATGTGCTGCAGGCCTGGATGGGGCGGCTGGGGCTCCCCTATTGCGGGCAGCGTCTGGCGGGCGCCGCGAGCGAGGTCTTCCTTCACCTTCTCAAGGCCCGCCGCGATCCGCCCGGATCTCGGCAAGCCCTGCTCGCGGAGCAGGACCACCAGTGCAAGCTCTGCGCGGCCCCCATCACCGCAACCACGTGCGAGTTGGACCACATCGTCCCCGTGCACCAGTCCTTCGCCGCACAGGCCCAGAACCTCCAGGCACTGTGCCTCGAGTGCCACCGGAACAAAACGGCCCTGGAGTCCTCGCACGCCACGACACTGGAGTCGCGCTTCAGCCGGCGGGCTTACGAGCAGTACGTGGAATCGCCTCGACTCCCGCCGCTCGTCTTCAAGCTCAACAGCCACAAGCCGGACCACATCTGCCACGGTATAGACGTGGTGCGGTGCCGCAAGAACGGTCTGGCCCATGCCAAGTTCCCGGCGCCCATCTTCTGCCCCAAGGACAACGTGGAGCAAGCCCGCGAAGGGCACCTGGCGGACCTGACCTACGTGAGGCTCCGGGAGGACGGGCGTTGGGCGGCGTTCAAGCAGCTCCCCTACGTGGGCCAGGGCTGGTACGCCAAGCCTGCGGTGGCCTACATGCTGGAAAAGGGCCTTGCGACATGGAGCGACTTCGTGTACAGCCTGGACGCCACGGCGCACGTGGACCAGGAGTCCGTGGCCCAGGCCCTGCAGAAAATGGAGGCGGCTTGGCCGGAGGGAGAGGAGCACTACGCGAAGCTGTCGGTGAATGCCCTCATCGGGCTGTGGGCACGCAACATGAACCTCATCTACACCATGCGCACCAGCAACCACCAGTTCGACGGGTCCGGGTGCCAGCACCGGGAGCTGTTCCTGGACGCCGCGGGCGGGATGCACTGGGATCACATCTACGTGACCCAGTTGTTGTCCAACCGGAGCTGCCGGCCTGTGCACGACTTCGTGATGGCCTCGGAGTACGTCGCCGTCTCCAGAATCCGGGATGCACTCGCAACCGTGCCGTCGAGGTACCTGAAGGCCGTCAAAACGGACTGCGTCGTCTTCCAGGACCTGCCCAAAAAGTTCCAGGGCCTTGTGGACAGCCTGGTCCGCGAAAGGCATCCCGACGGCACGCCCGTGTACCGATGCGAGGAGGTCAAGGGCCTCGAAGGCCAGTATCGGATCCCCCGAATCGAGGCGGAGTGGATGTGCAACATTGACACCTGGAAGGTCGCGGAGGACCCTGTGCTCCACTGCCTCGAGGGCGGGAGCCTGCTGCTGACCGGCTACCCGGGCACCGGGAAGACCCACCTGGCGCGCCAGATCGTGACCGCCCTCCGGGAAGAAGGGTACAAGGTGAAGATCATCACGAAGACCCACTCCTCCGTGCAGAACTTTGGCATGCAGGCGGAGACGGCCGACCACTGGGTGCGGAGCACCGTCCGGAACGGCTACTGCAACATCGACTGGCTGGTGGTGGAGGAGATTACGCAGCTCGACACGGGGCCGTGGAACGACATCGCCTGCGTCTCCATGAACCGCAAAGTCAAGTTCCTGCTGCTTGGCGACTTCCGCCAGTTCCCCGCCGTCATGGACAACTTCGCAGGCACCCCGGTGCAGCGGGAGCTCAAGCACCTCACCGACGGCTGGCACCACGAGCTCACCGAGAACAGGAGGAGCGACCCGGGCATCTTCGACTTCCTCCGGTGGCTCCGGGTCGACGAGCCCCGGGAGCAGTCCCTGCCGGAAGCGGTCCGGGCGGCCCGGGAAAGGTTTCCGCGGCAAGGCGAGCCCGATGTCAGCCTGGTCATCTCCCACGCCCACCGCATCAGGATCAATGCGCGGGACAACCGTCGCCTGGCCCCGCCGGAAGCTGTGACGATCGAGTACACCGGCACTGGCCCGACGACCACCAACATGCCGCAGACCATGCGGGTCTGGCCCGGCCTGAAGCTCATCGGCGTCGGCGGCCGCGTGACCAAAGGCATCTACGTGCATGTGGCCGAAGTGGGTCCCGAGAAGATCGTCTTGGACGGCGGCGACTCCTTCACCCACGCCGCCCTCCTGAAACACACCCGGCTGTGCCACGCCATCACCTACGCCTCGTGTCAAGGCCTGACGCTCGAAGGGCGGGTTTTCCTATGCGACACCGAGAGTCCACACTTCACCCTCAAGCACCTCTATGTGGGGAGCAGCAGGGCCACCAGCAGCGAGCTCCTGAGCGTGCTCTAGAACGGACACTGAAAGGCCGGGGCTTCGGCCTCTCTGAGCTGCAGGTCCGTCACTTCCATCAGAAGCCCACACTGACCCGACATGAGCCACACCTGGCGCAAATCTGCGCGCACCTTGCATTCCCGACCGGCCAGGTCGCCAGGATCCTCCAGCGGCTGCTGGTCAGCGTCCCAGAAGTGGACTCGGGACAAATCGACCTTGAGCTTGATGAAGCTGTTCCCGCGTGAGGAGGTCTTGAGGCAGGACACGAAGCGACCCTCCACGTCCGACGCAGTGAGGTAGCGGCCGAAGATTTTAGAGTCGTGGAGGCATCGCTGGGTCAGCTGGCCCTTGATGTCCTTCTCGATCGCCTGCAGGTCTGCCTTGGCGGCCTCGTTCTGCTCGAGACACAGGGGGAGTCGCCGGGCTTCCGTCTCGCTGCCGTAGGGGCTGGGGTGCCACAAGATGCGCAGCCACTCGTGGGACCGCCAGGCCTCCGCGCACACCGGGAAGAACTTGCCGCCACGCTGGTTGGTCGTAAGCTCACCGAGCTTGAGTACCGTTTTGGGCTCCATCGCTCCTTCTTTTTTCACGACAAGAAAAAAAATGCCGGCCACCGTCGCCACCGCGGAGTGCGTGGTGGCCCTGGCGTGCTTGCTGGTCCTGTGGGCCTTTTCTTTTCCTTCAACAAATGAGACTCCTGGAACTCTTCAGCGGCACGGGGTCGGTCGGACGTGCCTTCGCGGCCCGTGGCTGGGAGGTAACGAGTCTTGACAGCAACCCAAAAGCCAGCCCAACCATCTGCTCCGACATCCTGCAATGGGACTACAAGGCCTTCGAGCCCGGGCACTTCGACGCAGTGTGGGCCTCGCCCTGCTGCACCGAGTTCAGCATCGCACTCAAGAAGCGCCCCCGCAACCTGCCGCTCGGAGATGCCCTGGTGCTCAAGACCCTGGAGGTCATAGACTACCTCAAGCCTCGGTGGTGGGCCATCGAAAACCCGAGCACCGGGCGCCTCAAAACCCGCCCCTACATGCAAGGGCTGCACATGGACCGGGTCACGTACTGCAAGTACGGCTTCCGCTACAAGAAGCCCACGGCCATCTGGCACAACTTGCCCTGGACCCCCTCCCAGGGGCCCTGCCGCAAGGGCGACCGCTGCGAGGCCTTCCAAGGAACTCGGCACCCCGAGGCCGCGCAGCGAGGGCCCACCAAGGGGCGGCAGGGGAGCAACTCGCGGGACCAGCTCTACTCCATCCCGCCTGCGCTGTGCGACGAGATCGCCGCGAGCGCAACACTTGGGTTAAATGGGCAAGGTGCGTCTCTTCAAGACGCCTGAGTACTCCGTCAAGCAGCCGCCTGACCCCGTGGTTTGCAAGCCCCCCGCCAACGGTATTTTGTGCGCTCCATCTGCAAGCGGAAAGACGGTACTCCTTGTGAGCATGATTTTGGAGCAATACCGGGGCTGCTTCGAGCGCATCTATATCTTCTCGCCCTCGGTGGAGGTCGACTCTGCCTGGCAGCCTGTCAAGGATTACATCCGAGACGAGCTGGGCGTGAATACGGACCGGGAGCAGTGCTGGTGGGAGGATTGGGACGAGGGGGCGCTGCGGAAGATCATCGCGGACCAGAAGCGCATCACCCAGAAGAGCAAGGAGCTGGGCCTCAAAAAACTGTACTCGGTCTTGGTAGTTTTGGATGATCATGCCGATAATCCAGCTGTGCACCGCAAGACGGGAGATGGCGTTTTGGACACTCTGTTCATCAGGGGCAGACATTTTTGCATCAACACCTGGGTCTCGACCCAGAAGCTGCGTCTTATGAGCTCCGCCGTGCGGGTCAACGTGATGTTCTACTGCGTCTTCCGGTTGCGAAACCAACTGGAGCTGGATGCCTTGGTGGAGGAGCTGAGCGCCATGCTCCCGAAAGAAACCCTCTACGCCATGTACGAGGAGGCCACCAGGGAGCCCTACAGCTTCTGGTTCGTTAACCTCCGCGCGCCCAAGGAAGACATGTTTTGGGTGCGCTTCGACCGGAAGTTCTTGCTAAATGGGGACGCTCCTGAGCCAGATGGCGGCCAAGTTGTTGGGGGGAGGCCCGATGTGCGAAAGTGAGTGCAGCAACATAAGGTGCTGCACCAGCACGCAGGGCATCTACGACCCCAGCCACTGGCCCCCACCAGACAGGCCCCGGCAAACCTCCGATGGCTCCAACGCCAGCGAGTTCTCGGCGCGGCCCACCCGGTTTTTCAGGCGCCGTTCTAAAAAGGGCATGACGAGTATCTACGTGGACTCGCGCCTCCGCGCGGAGGGCACGGACAGCAGCTTCTCCTTCGACATCGGTGAGAGTGTGCACATTCAATCCGGCGCCAAACTTGCGGTGTACAAGGTCCGCGTTGCTGACGCCTTTTTGAGCACGGACCGCGGGACGTTCTTGTACTGGGAGGACACGGTCGCCGGCACCCTGCATTACGCGGAGCTCCCGGTGGGGGCGTACACAGGGCCGCGATTGGCTGCGTGGATCAGCAGCAACTTCGCTTCCGCCAGCTACACCGCCGAGACAAATGAGCTCGACGTGACCTACGACGGCGTGCGCCTCATCCTCAACGATGCCGAGCTCCGGCAACGCTTCCCAGGCACGGCCCCCTACCCGCCGGGCGCCTCGCCCAGCAAGCCCCTGTCCATCAACCACCTCCTCGGCCCCAGCTACCTCACAGGCTCTGTGCAGCGCTTCGTCTTTGTGACGATGAATCCGTTCTCAGAACTGTACCTCAGGTGCCCAACACTGGCCAACGGGGAGACGACGGTGGGCCCGTTGGGGCACGACATCCTCTGCAAGATCGTCGTTTCGAAAGGCGTGGGCCACGTCATGGAGACCGAGACGTCAGAGGGGCACTGGGTTCAGCTGCACGGGCCCATAACCCTGCGTCAGTTGCGCTTCAAGCTCACCGACTACCAGGGCAACATCGTGAACACTCGAGGCACCAGCATTTCCTTTGTGGTTTTCCTCGACACCGAACGATAAAAAAATAATTGGAAAAGAAAATGGCTGAGGATGAACCCGCTCCTGTGGCCACCGAGCCCGCCGTGGCCGAGCCTCCCGCGCAGCCGGTGGTGGCCGAGCCTCCCGAGCCTGCCGAGCCTGCCGCGGTGGCCGAGCCGCCGACCGAGGCTCCTCAGGAAGCGCCCCAACCCAAACGGCGAGGGCGACCGCCAGGTTCGAAGAACAAGCCAAAGCCGCCCCCGACTGTGGCCGTGGCGGAGCTTCCGAAGCATGCTGAGCCGCCGACACCGGAGCCGCAGCAAGAGCCCCACCAGGAGCGAGCACAAGAGCCCCCGCCTGAGCCCCAGCAACCCGTGCGTATGACGCCCTCGGAGGCTCGCCGCGCCCGGCAGCTCTCGCGAGCCGACCGCTTCCATGAGCTCCTGCTCGCAAACACAATGGACTTGTAAAAAGAGATGATGCCCTTCCCCGAGCGGCGCAATGAAGCCGCGATGCTGCGGGCGTTTCACAAGCAGTATCCCAGCTACAACTTGACGCCGCTGCTCTACAAGCGGCAGCAGCAATTGATCGATGCTCGGGCCTTCAACGAGTGGCTGGCCAACCGGCGGCAGCGCCAGGAAGGCGAGGCCTATACGGATGAAGTGGGGCGTGCAGTCGACGCCGTTAACAGGAGGATCCCCCAGTTGAGGTGGGCCCCCGCCGAGCGGGCGGGCGTGCGTCGCGTGGCCCGCGATGTGGCTGCCGGGCGCAACACTAGCGACTCTGCGGTTTATGGCGGCCTCATGTAAAGACATGGAGGAGCGGCGTGCGCACGGCTTCCGCGTACGGCCGTCATACTCACAGGTCCTGGGCTACATCGCTGAGGGCGAGCCCTTGCCCATCGACCTCCCAAACCGCAATGCCAGCATCCTGACTTCCAGCCACTTCTGGCTGGACGACTATCCCCAGAGCTCCGAGCCCGAGCCAGCCCCGCTGCCCCACACGACCGTGAACCCTGCAGCAGCCTACGAGGATGCCAATGAAGGGTATGATGGCGTGCCCTTCCCCCGCCGAGATTTCCTGCGCCCACGGCCCTTTGACATGGACAGCGAACCGGATTTTGGGGCCGTGGACCCCGGGCAGGCTCTAAGAAACGACGGGTTTCAGCCCCCAGCACCGCCAAGCTTCCTCAGCCGGATGCAGCAGGCTGAAGCCGCTGCGGGAGCTGCAGCTGGACTGGCGGGCTCTGCCTCTGCCATTGCGGGGCACGGACAAGACCTATACAATGCAGCGCGCAGGGGAAGGAACTGGATCGACCGGAACCTACGCATTCCGCGCACGCCCGAGGGCCTCGCGCCCCCGCCCGACGAAGTAGCTCCACCCCAAATCATCGGCCGGCCAAGTGAAGTGGAGCCGCTTCTGGAGCGGGCGGGACAGCGAGCCCAGGAGGTGGAGAGGGCGGCAGCCCGAGACATCGAGCAGTTCATGAGCGAGCAGGTGGCCGAGGCGGAGGCGACCGAGGGCTTCGCTTCCACCGCAGAAATGGCTGCGGGGGCTGCAGAAGCGGCAGGTGCTGCAGAGGCCGCAGCGGGTCCGGGCGCGCTTGCGCTGTTTGGCGAGGCAGCATTGGGCACCGCTGCGGGCATGGGAGCAGCGGCGGGGGGCTTGGCTGTGGCAGGCGGGGCGGCCGCACTCGTGGGAACCGCATGGGCACTGCACGGCGGCATGGTGGCGGCAGAGCACCTTTTGGGCTGGGGTGGAGGCGGAGGAACCGACACGGACGCCTCCCGACCCAGCTCGGCCCCCGACATCCAGACCTTGAATGGGATGCAGGAGTTTGGGGCGGAGCAGCACTTCCAGCTCCGGGAGCCACAGGCCTCACGGCAACGCCCGCAGTTTTACCGCATGGACACCGACAGCGAATCGGAGCCGCGGGCCCAGCCGCCCCCGCGCATGCAGGCTCGCCCCGCGAGGCCCACGCGCTTCCCCACGGGCTTGAACCCCGCTCCCTTGGCGCAGTCCTCGGGCAGCGAGTCCTCCCGCGGGCCTCGCATGCAGAGGCCGTCCCGCGCCGCACCGCCCCCGTCGTTCGAGGCGCTTCGAAGCGCGAGCGAGCCGGAGGCCGCGTGAATCTTTCGCTACAAGTAAACAGTATGGAGCAGGTAACTGCTGCCGTAAATGATGAGCTGGTCCAGTCTTTGTCGTTTCGGTTGGAGACCTCCAACGTTAACTATGTGCAGAGCCGCAAAGACGTCCAGTACTACCCGAGCTCCCTGAGCGTCTTCACGCCGACCACGAGCCGCGTGCGCCGCATCCCGCTGACCAGCGGCATGGACTTCGTGGACGGCGAGAGCGTCAAGCTCGGCTTCACGGTGCGCAACACCTCCACCACGGCGACGCTGCAGCTCGCCTCGCCGGACCCGAGCTGTCTCATCGACCGCATCGAGGTCTTCGCGAACGGCACTCGCATCGAGGACATCTCCTATTACAACCGCTGCTCGTACCTCTACAGCCTCCTGAAGAACGAGGAGTGGTGGCTGAACCGGCACATCCAGGGCTTCCTGGCGGACGGCGGGGGCCACGCCGAGGAGATCCCGGCCTCGGGCTCCCGCACCGTGCTCATGAGCCCGCACCTCATCGGGATCTTCAACTGCGGCAAAATGTTGCCCCCCGAGCTCGGCCTTGTTCTTCAAATCACCTTCTGCGACCCCACCGACGGGGCCCGCAACGTCAGCGGGAGCCAGGAGTACACCATCGAGAACGTGAAGCTCTACGCCTCCCAGGTGACCCTCGACTCCGCCCTTCGCGAGAGCTTCCAGAGGATCATGACCAGCGGCCGCAGCCTGGTTTTCAGCTTCCCGACGATGCACACGCAGCTCTCCAGCATCCCCGCAGGGTCCACCAGCTACAATACTACAATAGCACGGGCATTTACGAAATTGCTCGGCGCCTTTGTGACGTTCAACAAGACCACGGAGGACCACGTGGACAATTTCGAGTACCCTGGAGCGAATGCGAATCGGAACCTCAAGGGCCAGCTGCAGCTGGGTGCGTTGCAATATCCTAGGACGGCCAACGAGAGCATCGCCGAATGGCACCACTTTTTGGAGATCCTGGCGGGCACCTATGACTCCAAGCTTCGCAACATGCGCATCCGGGACAACCTCTACGGGAACACGCAGTTCATCGCGGCCTTCCCGGTGGAACGAGTGCCCAAGCATCCGCTCTCGGGCATCTCGACCCGCTCCGGCGACCTCTGTCGCTTCAGCTTCAGCAACATGGAGGCGGAGCGCGTGGACCAGTGCTTCGTGCACATGCTCTCCTACCAGCTCGTGACGCTCTCAGGAGCTGGGGTCAGTTCCCTCGACTAGTAAAACATGAGTCTTTTTGAGTCGACCATCACCGGCAACATCCTCAACGATGGCCAGACCCCCATCACCACCATCGAGATGCAGGGGATCTCTGCGGGGCAGCTCGCAACGGTCCTCACGGCCTACACACCCCTCACAGACACCGCTGCCAACACCGCATCCATCGGGACCAACTCGTCCGCCGTCGCGGCACTGCAGGCCCAGGTGGCAGCCATCCCGGCACCGCCCGATTTGACCCCTTACGCTTTGGCAGCTGACTTGGCAGCCGCCGAGGGCCTCATCGCCGGCAACGCTTCTTCCATAACCACTCTCAGCACCAGCCTCACCACGGGTCTGGCGGGGAAAGCGAACCAAAGCGCCCTCGACGCGCTGCAGCTGGACGTGAACTCCAAGAGCACGCCCGCCTCCGTGGACCTCAAGCTAGCCAACCATCCCACTAACGCTTCCATGAACAGTGCCATCACCAGCGCCGACAATGCAGTGCTCGCGCAGGTCGCGAGCACCTATGGGCTGAAGAGCACGCAGGACCAGCTGGCCCTCGACGTGGCGGCCCGGCAAACAGCCGCGGACGTCGACCAGAAAATAGCGACGGCTCTTTTGGACCGGCCAACCACCACCGACCTCAGCAGCACAGTGGCCCTGCGCACCACACCCGCGGACGTCTCGCAGCTCATCGCCACGGCCCTCCTCGCGTACGTTCAACAGGCGGCCTTGGACGCCGCCCTCGCCCTCCGCGACGGGAGACTCGACGCCGCCGAGGC